GCGTATTGGTCTAAAATGTTTTGCAACCTCTTCAGAGTGTCCACAGTCTTTTAACTGTTGGGAGAGGATCCAGCCCTAAAATGAAAAGCTGGGTTTGAGAAACAAATTTAAAGATGTGGTTCACTTATTTCATCAATACATTTGCGGTGGTCTCTTGTAGGAATTAATTCTATATTAGTCGTACTCTGGGGAAACAAAGCTCTTGTGCATCATTTTCAAGAACTAGAAGTGAGCCACATCAGAGTTGCGCTTCAGAAGACAGGATTAAGAGTCTTATTTCCTGATAATTGGACATCTTGCCTCAGATTGGATAACAGCTATGCGACTCTACTGCGGACACCATTTGCTCAGCAACTTTGATGTTTAATTTTCACAAATAATACAAACCTAAAGCCAAAAACACAAATTACTACATTTCAACACATTCACAAAAAATGTTGTGGTTGAAAATCTAACATGTGAATTTTGTGTTTAACCCATCAATACTTCGTTTCGGATATCTGATAACTGCTCTAAAGGAACTGTGTCAAGTGATTTTTAATGTGAGACAGTCCCATTACCAGTCTGTGTTAGTTAGAGAGCTCTGTGCTGATGACAGGATGGCTCCTTACAGCTAATGGAACACTAATTGAGTCAGTCTCAGTAACAAAATGAACTTTTATGAGTCGTTCCAAACCCCGCAGTTACATTGAACATCAGGTATCAGTTCAACACCTCTTAAAAGAAAAGGTGTTCAGGCAGTAGTTTTATAAAATACAAAGGGTAGAAATATCTCATTTTCAACCTGCATTTTTCTTAATTTTTCTGCAACTAATTCATGTTAAATTCATACTTCTATTGAGATGCGTTGTTGGTTTGGATGCTCCAAATGAAGAGGGTGGCTCTGAGCCCTGAGATGCATTACACCACCACTGTGAGTACATTTGGTGATAAATGTGGCGTGGAAAAAATAGTCATGACAGCAATCATTCTCTCGACTGGGGTTCTTTTTTTTCAGGAGAGGCAAAACGTTTCAAGCTGAAAAGTCACTATTCTTAATATAAAACAGCTAATCTGAATCCCAGTAACTAAAAAAATTATTTAAAAATAAATTAAGTTTAAATCTGTTAATGCTATCCACCTGCTATGATTGTTTATTGTTTGTTTTTTTTAAATAAAAAAAGCATGATCCCTTTATGGCATGCTGCATTAAAACCATGGAACATTCATCCATCCCTCCATCCATTGTCTGAACCCGCTTTGTCCACGTAGGGTCGCGGGGGGCTGGTGCCTATCTCCAGCGGTCAATGGGCAATCAGGCAGGGTACACCCTTGACAGTCCATCGCAGGGCAACACAGAGGCACACAGGACAAACAATCACACACACACAGACACCTAAGGACAATTTAGACAGACCAATTAACCTAACAGTCATGTTTTTGGACTGTGGGAGGAAGCCGTAGTACCCGGAGAGAACCCACGCATGCACAGGGAGAACATGCAAACTCATTGCAGAAAGATCCCAGGCTGGGAAGAAAACCCAGGACCTTCTTGCTGCAAGGCAACAGCTCTAACCACTGCACCACTGTGCAGCCCACCATGGATAATAAACAGAATTAGAAAATAGAGTTTTTAGCCCCATTGACTTGCATTTTTTTTTCCGTGGACCCATGGTCCGGAAGTAGATGGGTGTGACTTAGGCTCCCTATAATCACTTTGTTTTCTTTTTTGTTTCACCTTGCTTCTTGTTTTATTTTGAAGTATTACATCCTTTTTCAGTCTTTCTTTCCTCACTATTTATCACACCTGTTTATTATATATATATATATATATATATATAAACACCTTTGTTTCTGCTCCGACTTTTCATGAGATGGACTTAAAGATCTAAAATTCATTCCTGATACACAATATCACCATTTCTCTCAAACATTGTTCACAAATCAGTCTAAATGTGTGATAGTGAGCACCTGTGCTTTGCTGAGATAATCCATCTCACCTAACAGGTGTGCCACATCAAGATGCTGATCTGACATCATGAGTAGTGCACAGGTGTACCTTATACAGCCCACAATAAAAGGCCACCCTAGAATGTGCAGTTTTTTGCTTTATTGGGGTCTGGAGACTCAGAACCGGTCAGTATCTGGTGTGACCACCGTTGCCTCATGCAGTGCAACACATCTTCTTTGCATAGATATCAGATTGTCAATTGTGGCCTGTGGAATGTTGGTCCACTCCTCTTCAATGGCTGTACAAAGTTGTTGGATATTAGTGGGAACTGGTACACGCTGTCATATACGCCGGTCAAGCAAATCCCAAACATGCTCAATGGGTGACATGTCCGGTGAGTATGCTGGCCATGCAAGAACTGGGACATTTTCAGCTTCCAAGAATTGTGTACAGACCCTTGCAACATGGGACCGTGCATTATCTTCCTGAAACATGAGGTAATGTTCATGGATGTACGGCACAACAATGGGCCTCAGGATCTCATCACAGTATCTCTGTGCATTCAAAATGACATCAATAAAATGCACCTGTGTTCTTCGTCCATAACAGATGCCTGCCCATACCATAACCCCATCACCACCATGGGCCACTCAATCCACAACATTGACATCAGCAAAGCGCTCACCCACACGACGCCACACACGCAGTCTGCCATCTGCCCTGAACAATGTAAACCGAGATGCATCCGTGAAGAGAACACCTCTCCAACGTGCCAGATGCCATCGAATGTGAGCATTTGCCCACTCAAGTCTGTTACGGCGACGAGCTGGAGTTAGGTCAAGACCCCGATGAGGACGACGAGCATGCAGTTGAGCTTTCCTGAGACGGTTTCTGACAGTTTGTGCAGAAATTGTTTGGTTTTGCAAACCAATTGTTTCAGCAACTGTCTGAGTGGCTGGTCTCAGACGATCTTGGAGGTGAACCTGCTGGATGTGGAAGTCCTGGGCTGGTGTGGTTACACGTCGTCTGCAGTTATGAGGCCGGTTGGATGTACTGCCATATTCTCTGAAATGTCTTTGGAGACGGCTTATGGTGGAGAAATGAACATTCAATGCACGAGCAACAGATCTGGTTGATATTTCTGCTGTCAGCATGACAATTGCATGCTCCCTCAATGCTTGTGGCATCTGTGGCATTTTGCTGCGAGACAAAACTGCAAATTCCAGGGTGGCCTTTTATTGTGGGCAGTATAAGGTACACCTGTGCACTACTCATGATGTTGTATCAGTATTTTGATGTGGCACACCAGTGAGGTGGGATGGATTATCTCAGCAAAGCAGAAGTACTCACTATCACACATTTAGACTGAGTTGTGAGCAATGTTTGAGAGAAATGGTAATATTGTGTATCTGGAATGAATTTTAGATCTTTAAGTCCATCTCATGAAAAATCGGAGCAGAAACAAAGGTGTTGCATTTATATTTTTGTTGAGTGTGTGTGTGTGTGTATATATATATATATATATATATATATATATATATATATATATATATATATATATATATATATATATATAGGAGCTTGGCAGGGAAAACCATGCAGGCAATTAAAACTGTTCATTAATGCTTTGTTAGACAACACTCTAGCTAATCCCATCCTATGGCAGTCAGCGATAAGAATGTTTCCTTCTCTCCCTGCGTGTCTCTCCATCTCCCTGCAGGGAGGAGATACGCTATTGCGGCCTTCCTGTGAAGATGAACAGAAGAATGACTAATATTCTGATCCAGGTTTCATCAGAGATCCTACAGTAGATGGACAAATTGCTCAGCAGTATGCTCCAGATATCACTTTTACATCTAAGGATTTGTGTAGTTGTTGTGTATCCGAAACATTCTTTCATTTAAAAAAAACAACAACTATTTATTTAGAATGACATACGGGAGCTTTTTTCAATCCAATACCTGCATCAACAGGGTAGTATCACTTGTACGTACAGTATGTACTTTCCAAAAAAAAAAAAAACAATAATACCCAAAGAAACACATACTGTACAACACAAGACTGCTAAGGCATGGGGAAAGGGTCCAACTTAGTAATTTTTGTAGAAAGATAAAAAGTGAACACATTAATTGTAACTCTGGCAGCATTTTACAGCATTTTTGTAATGATAAAAACATGTTAAAGGTGTGGTTCACTAGTTTAATCAGTACATTTGCAGTTGTCTTTAGTGGGGGTGATAAACTGGTGCACCATTTTTTGGAACATCATATGTTTTATCTTCATAAATAAGAAAAGCCTGGAGGAGTTCTGCCGTGTTGTGGAGTTGCTAATGCTAACAGTTAGCTTCTTTTACACTGGTTATTGGACGCCTTCCCCCATCAACTTGCTTTTTTAATCCGAGCGTTTCCCCATCTATATTTTATCAATGGCCAATGCAGGAAATAGGGGTAGAAGACGTTTTCCCTATTTACCCTGCGTGTGAATTTCAGAGTGACTGCTTATATTTGAAAAATAACAAGTCAAAAACGGTTTCTCTGTGAGTTTGTTCTTTAAGTTACTTGTTTTACATGAAGGTGCTTTAAAACAAAAGTAATTATTTTTGGGTTTGAAGAAGTGCAACCGCTGCACAGCCGCCAGGGATGGTGGGGGTGGAGGGGGTCAGGACGGATGATGCATTGTGACTGGGAGGTTTTGGCTCTCGGCCATAACAAATCAAGTCTGTGCTGGCACAGATTTCACAGAAGGTGTCAGAAAGATTTTACTTTCACAGCAGAGAATCATTTTGTCAGATAAGATCAGCTGAGTTTACAGCTCGCCAATGTGGTGATGGAGCTGATTGTATATTCATTTCCACTTATGTAATAAATAAGACTTTGGCATTTCAGTGAGCAGGTCAGTATCGTCATGGTGAGAGAGTGTTCTCATACCTTTATAGCTAGGGTTCTCAAAATGTGACAAAATGAAACTATTTCATAATAAAATTACTTGTTTTTTCTCTAACACTGTTGTGTAAAATAAATGTAATAAGGGGAATGTGAATGTACTGGATTAAAAAGACATGATTCTAACATTATAATCTATAGATCTTTATTTTTGCAGAGAACATATATAGCAATCATGCTTTTTTATAGAACACCATCTAAAGACATTTATTATATTTTTACATAGAATATTTTACATTAGGCCCATGTAACAGCTAAAAATATACAAAACAATATCCTCTGACTAGACATATCTAATAATTTATTATATGATCTTTATTAATATTACTCTAATCTGTTATCATATTCTTCTTTCTCAGCAGAGAGATATGTGACATAATTTCTGAGATAGTTTTATTGCAGAAAACAGAAAATAATACCACATTTTTCATTCAACATTTTGACATAAGAAAAGAAAAAACTGCTTGTACGGACATTCACAGATACATGTATTACACAATCCAGTTTACAACATCATTCAAGAGAGAAACTGCAGTATGGTAACCACACAAAATTCATGGACTGCTTTTGTCATTGCACATTTGATTTCACAGATCTTTGAAAAATAAAAGATGTAGATGAAGGAGGGATGGGACTAATTCAACCTGATTCCTGTTGCATGTAGCTGCCACTGAAGCTAATTCTCTGGACCCTTCTATGCTGGGATGTCTGTGATGAAGTTAGTCTCCAAAAATGGTTTCATACAGTGTCTATTATATATAAGCTGACATGGAATGAAAGGTTTGAGACCACATCACAAAAAGGAGCCATTTCTGTGGCGTTATCCTGACGTTAACAGTGCTTTGCCAGCTTTGACGTCCAACTGAACCCATGCTAGATTGCTGCGCTTGCTACAGAGGTGGAACACTCAATGGCTTCTACTTAAACAGCCACAACAGACGGTGTACACTAGCAAGAAGCAACAATTTGGATCAGCTTTTTAATGTCAATCTGTGCCTATTTACTCTAAGATTTTATACATTGCGTCGTTTTGTTGCATGCTTAATATGTGGGAAGAAATTTCTAGGATTTACTTCATTTTTTCCTAAATTTAGTATTAATTTCTACATACACTTCAGGGTAGCATCATAAACAGTTTGGTCACATCTACTTTTGTTTCCTGAGGAGTGGGTCATTAAACAGATACAAGTGCAGTTAGAATAGAAATCTACCTTATTGACTCCAGCGCAGCCCAACCAGTCACAGCAGCTGTTCTGGTTTACAAAACGAATTTTATTGTTGGAAAGTTGTGCTTCATTTCCTCATTAAAATCTATTCTGCTTTAATACATACTCTCAAACAGATTTGTAAAGTGCAGAGTGTAAATGTGGGATTCCTGTATCTTCTTTTTGTTAATTACTAGCTGTTGTGGTTTTCAAAGTGAAGTTGTGCTTTTCGAATGATGCCCTAAATTATTGCTCCACTACATCAAAAGGGTGCTTTAAAAAAGAAATCCATAGTCAATCCAATGTTTGCACAAGTGTTCAAACTATAGATTTGGTCCCTCTCACATTCACATTTAGAAAATGGATTTAAAAAAGATTCAGACTCCATAAAATGAGATAGTTATTTAGAAAACAAGAAAACAATAATAACAGTCTCTTGCTAAGTTTTTCTTCATGAGTTATTTTTGCGGCTGTCACAGGTTTCAGTCACCCCAAAAATAAAGGTTTAAAAAAAGTGTGATGTACTTGTGCTTTTTCTAATGCCGTTCCCCGACATGGGCCGTAAACATTTCTAGTGGAGGGAGAGATAGTCGGGTGAAGTTAGATCAGCAGATTTGGCCTTACCTGTTGCACGTTCCCATTTACTCTTGGCTTTCATTTGTCTTCATGGATTTTCACTTTACAAAACTTTGTCCTTTTATCACCTGCAACACTGCTTCTTTAACCGTCATGCATTCATGTACAAAATAAAATATGTTTATTTATATTTTTCTTTGTACAGTAATCTGAGTTTAGTATGTTAATTAGTCTCTTGAACTAACAATACTGAATCCGTGTGGGCCTTCAGATTGAAATTGTATATATTTAAAATACAGTATTTTCCTAAATCATATTTCCTTCCTGGATCGTTTCTTTTTCTGTTTTTCATCATAAAATGTTCATAATTTCACAACAATTTTGCAGAATCATTTTGTTTTCTTAAGTTTTATAACTCTGCGTTATTAAAAAAAATAAACAGAAAACCCCCTAAAAATAACCGTAATCAGGTTGGTCTCATGTGTCCCCAGGAGGTAGGTGAATAAAAGCAGACGTAGACGTCTAGTGGCCGTTCCCAACCTTGATTACGCTGGAGCGCCAGTCTTGCCGTTGAAACACAGAAAAAGGCAGAACCTTTTTTTTAGATGTATGCTTCCTCATTGGCAGGGTTCTGGTTCTGGCTTTCTGTCTGCTGATCCGGACCGTTTTCTTGAGCCTTCGTCAGCACCAGAGGTGTTATCATCATCCGCAGACGCTGGGGAAAGAGATGGAAAAGATTATTTTTCATGGCTGAATCAAAAAAAGCCATTGCTGCTAATGTTACAGATCGTGACACAGATTTTCTGTGAGAGAGCTGAAGGGAGAACATAGCATGATGCCATCAAAGGTTTGCCCTTTGAAGTATATCCTAATGTTTTCAGCTTTTTAACTTTGGATCATGACAACCTGTATACTTCAGCAGCCAGGAGTGGTTTAAAACCTGCGACTGTGATCAAAATGTGCACAACGGATGAAATGCATGAGGTGTCATGGTCATGGTCATGTATACAATGGTAAGAAATGAGCTTGTCAACAGCAAAATAAGTAAAATTTACACTGAACAAAAATATAAACACTATACTCTCAAATATTGTTCTTAAATCTGCTTTAGTGAGCACTTCTATGATAATCCGTCCCACCTCACAGGTGCTGATTAGACAGCATGAAGTTTGCACAGGTGTGCCTCAAATTCCCCACAATCAAAGGCCACTCTGAAATGGTCCCATTAGTCATCGTCACACGCTGGTGAAATTACATTTGACCAATCCTCGTGGGGGTGGTGGGCTGCAGCTGTCGCTGCGCTCGGGAACTGTTTGGTGGTTTAACCCCTCAATACAACCCCCTTAATGTTGAGAGTCAAGCAGGGAGGCGTTGGGTCCCATTTTTAGAGCCTTTGGTATGACCTGACCGAGATTTTAACCCTGATCTCCCACTCCCAGGATGGACAATCATGAGGCCACTGAGAAGGAAATTTTGATAAGTTTGATCTCACAGCATAATGTCACAGACGTCACAACTTTTGAGGGAGAGTGCAGTCTGCATGCTGACTGCAGGAATGTCAATCAGAGCTGTCGCCTGTGAAATTAAAGTTCATTTCTCTACCATTGACTGTCTCCAAAGGCATTTCAGAGAATTTGGCAATACATGCAACTGGCCTCATAACCGCAAACCACATGTAATCTCACCAGCCCAGGTCCCTCCACATCCAGCATGTTCAGCTCCATGATCATCTGAGATCAGCCACCCAGACAGTGGCAGCAGCAATGGGTTTGTGTACCCAAAGAATTTCACATACCGTCAGAAACCATCTCATGGTAACTCGTCTGCATGCTTTTTGTTCTTAATGGGTCTACACCTGACACAATAACCAACTGGATGCTCACATTCAATGGCATTTGGCCCGTTGGAGAGGTGTTCTGTAAATGAATGAAACCCAGTTTTCACTGTTCAGGGCAGATGGGTGAGCGGTTTGCTGCCATAGACATTGTGGATCGATCGGCCAATACTGGCATTAAGATTACGGTATGGTCAGGCGTATCTTATGGACAATGAACACAGGTGCATTTTACTGATGGCATTTTGAATTCACAGAAATATCATGATGATATCCTGAAGCCCATTGTTGTACCATTCATACACGACCATCACCCCATATTGCAGCAGGATAATGCGCGGCCCCATATTGCAAGCATATGTACACAAAAAAATCCCAGTTCTTGCATGTCCAGCACACTCACCAGACATGTCACCCACTGAGCACGTTTGGGATGCTCTGCATCGGCGTACACACAGCTATTGAAGAGGAGTGGTCCAACATTCCACAGGCCGCAATCAACAACCCGATAAACTTCATGCAGCGAAGATGTTTTGAACAGCATGAGGCAAATGGTGGTCACACCAGATACTGACTGCTTTTCAAAACCAGAAAAAATTATTGTACCTTTTCATCTCAGATTTAGGTGTAAATTCAGGTGAATCCTGCAGATATTTGCAACTTACCACTGAATACCTGTTATAAATGATTGCTGCATTCAAGTATTGATGGAAATGAAAAACCACTAAGTTGTCTCCTACAGTGTGCAACATAGTGAACATGATGTAGTGAGTGAGTGAACATTGCTAACAGCCTGAGTGTCTGCCTTGGTGCAGAGCACTACTCAGCTGGCTGATTGCTGCAATTAGACAATCAGCCATCAGCTGCAGGATCTGACACCTGCATTTTGCCTCCGATAGCCACGCCTGCACTGCCGTCAATTACAGCACATTTATTTTCTGAGCAGTAGCTGTAAGTCATATCTGAGACTAGAAACTGCATCCTGAACACTGGATGATTGCAGAATACAATGCTTTTCATGTAAATGTTATGCAAAAACTAGGCAGTTGTCATCCATTGATTAAGACTGCCTGGTCAAAAGAAATGCTATGCATTATTGTCTTGCAGATAGGCATGTGCCGCTTGCTGGGAATTCAGTGGCTGTTAAAACAGGCTGCAGAAATTAGTTCCTCAAAACTAATTAAAAATTCTCTTTTACTAATCCTTTTGTCACAGCTCGCTTAATTTGAATATATATATATATATTTTTTAATTGAGGATGCTTGTGTTTTTGCTCAATACAGAACCAACAACATAACACATTGAAGAGAGTAACACTGAGGCAAGCTTAACACTTTCTCACCAGGTGGTTTTTGAATTCATAATATACACCTTTTTAAAGGTGTGGTTCACTCATTTGCTGTGGTCTCTGGTAGGAATGAATGCCTTGCAAGTAGCTCTTGGAGCAAAAAATAAATAAAGCACAAAAAGGCCTGGATCAGCACCAACAAGTCAGCTGCAGCAGTGAGTGGCACAACACGGCTGGATTTTGAGTCTTATTACCTGATATTTGGACATCTGGCATCCGATTGGATAACAATAATGCAACTCTACCACTGAAGCTAAACCAACAACAGCCTTCCCCGTCATGAGTTAAGACAGAGCAGCATTAGCTCAGGAGGTAGGGCGGGTTGTCCAGTAATCAGTAGGTTGTGGGTTTGATCCTGTACTTGTGCTCAGCAGCCTTGCCTCTGTCAGTGTGCCCCAGGGCAGCTGTGGCTACAATGTAGCTCATCACCTCCAGGGTGTGAATGTGTGAATGGATGAATGATACACTGTAGTGTAAAGTGCTTTGGAGTCTTCTGACTCAGAAAGACACAAGTGCAGGTCATTTAGTGTCATTTATCAAGGTGGGTGAGTCCATGAAGGTTAAGTGACCGTGTGACGTAGATCTGTCAGGCTTTTCAAATCCTAGAGTTCCACCATCTGTTTTCTACCAAAACCTAATGTAGGAGACTATTTTCATGTTCAGCCTGCATGAAAAAATCTGACGACTGTAATTGGGAATAACCATTTAAAAAATGTTTTTTCAGTGTTCGTCACCTTTAGTCTTATGTTGTACAAATGTTGCACAGAGTTCTGCCTTTTTGCTAAAAGTTCTTGATAATTTCTTAAATGCTAATATTTATATGACCAAGGGTGGGGATAAATATCAATGCATTAATACAATTTCATATTTTTAGATTTTTAAAGGGGCATTATGGAAGTTTGACAGCCAAAACATGTATAGAAATAATAAATTTCTTCTTCATACATTCTCCTGCAATGCCCTGGTCCTGTAGAATGAGCCCTGGCATTTTTACTGTGATTGCCTGTTTTTCTGTAAAATCACAGAAAAAGAGAGCTGCTCGGGTCGAGCAGGCTGCTTCATGCGCGTTCACGCTCAGGCATAGCCCGTAGCATTTGCTATCCGTAGCTTTAGCAGCAGAGAGTGAGGTAGTGCCAACTCAGCAACTTTGACGCTGTTCCTAACGCCTAGTGATGAACCTAGCTATATTTCTGAGGACCCTTAGCTACTTTCTTTTAGATATGTCCTGCAAATTAGCAACAAACTAGCCATTTTTGCTCCGAACCGTTCTTTGAACTTTGTTTCAGCTGTCATCGGGAATATAAATGTTACAGATACAAAAGACATCAATGGTGCTTTAGCTCACTTAGTAAGATGTTGGAATCCCATGCAGAAGACCCGGGTTTGATTCTGGATGTGAACATAGTTTATTTAGAGTTTTTGTTTTTACATTAATGTTATATTTTTTTACAGTAAGATGCCCAAATTTTTATTTGAGACTCGCCGAACGGCATTGAATTCACAGATACAAAAGATGTGGGTTCAACTTTAATTTTGGAACAATTTTTCAGGCAAGGGAAGGGAATGATCTGAGCATGCAGGAGGACTGACCCATCTTAAACCTTTGTCGGCTGTGCTGAAGAGAAAGGTACAGAATCAATTTATTTAATTAATTAGCTGTGTGTTCTCCTGTCCTCTGTCCTCCGGGCCACACACACACACACACACACACACACACACACACATACACACACACACACACACACACACACACACACACACACACACACACACACGGGACTGTCTCAGCTGCTATTTTTGTTAAGGCGTGTGCACGTACAGCATGCGCGCCTCGTGCACGAGCCTACTATTGAAGCTGCCATTAAGCTTTTGGCCTGAGGGGGCAATCGCAAGCATAAAAATTCAAAACTCTGTAAAGTCCCTTTAATGAAGAAATTTGAAATGAATAGAACTAAAATCCACAGAAAAGCATTACAATCCTACCTCTTTGTATGTGCCTTTAAGTGTGAGGAACATGTAGCCCATGTAGCCGGGGATCAGAACCATGGAAGAAAGTGCCATGCACCAGCCGACCCCTTGACCCCAGCCTGGGAATACGTAATCACCCATAGTAAGGGGCACCATCTGCACCGCACTGAACAAGAAGACACCCTGAATGAGAGAGAAAGTGACAAGAAGAGAATAATGAGCATCTTCATCTTTACACTTAAATTTAGAATATGGAACATTGTAATAAAAAGCTATATTAGAAATAAAAATACCTTCATGGGGCGTTCAGAGGTGTGCAAAATTAATATACAGTTTCTCTTTTTAAAGCTATATTTAAAAAGATATATAATCAAATTTTTGTTCTGTCGGGCATGATACTGCGTTTATGTTTACATCGACCAGCCACTAGAGGGCAAAGTTGCGTTAAAAAGTCCACTCAGCAAGGCGATGTTGGGATGGTGTAAAATGGCAGACTTGACAAGTCAAGCAGCTGATTCGTAGCCCAGATGATGTTCTAACAGTAAATCCTGTTGTAAAATAAACTTAGTAGAAATTTGTCCTTATCCTGTATGATTTGTCTCTGAACATGGTGATGGAACGTGTCAGCAGTGAACCAACATCCCAGCAGCTGGAATATTAGTCCTGTTGATGCAATACCAACTCTGAAAACCAGAGTTTGCCAGATTGTCCATGTTTCATAGTCATCCTTTAAATCTGGGGTATGAAATAAAATCTTTTTTTCAAGTAACTTAAAAAAGCCTAACATAAAATAGGCAATGTTTCATAATGTTTATTCCCTCTAAGTCCCCTGGCATCTACAGCTAAACTACCAATCATTTATGTGAGCCTAGAGTGCTGGAGTTGACGGAGTTTTCAATCAGCAATAATGCGACCCAGTTTCCAGCAGACATATGGGCTCGACACACGGGAGGCGACAAACGACCGCGATCAGCGAAATTTGTCGCTGTTGCTTTTATTACCTGACATACGGGAGGCGATCCGCGGCAGCGGCCAGCGGCAAAGCCGTCTACGTGTTCTGTTCCATGGCGAAATTGAAACTTCTGTTGTTTTGCCTGGCTGTGTCAGGTTGGAGGGAATTAAGGTTATTTAAGCAGTTCAGAGTTAAAAAAAGCGGTAGATATTATGTTTCATAAGGTGCTGCTAGAGTTATGTGAAATCTTACTTGTGATTTTACTATATAAAACATAATAATAATCAACTTCTTCTCCATGCTTGCTCGGAGGTGTACGGAGCATCCTGTCCGCTCATTGGTCAGTGAATGAAACCTCCGTTGATTGGTCCTCGTCCGAGCGACAGCGATGAAAAGTTGAAAATGTTTCAACTTTCTGGGATTGCGTTGCTGGGTCGCCTGTGCACGACACGTGCACGAGCGCAAAATTTCACACGCACGTTTTTCGCGTTTGGCTTGGTAGGAGGGAGACCCGCGATTATCACTTTAACGCGTATGTCTCATTGAAAATGAATGGAGGAGAGGCGATGTCACCTCCCGTGTGTCGAGCCCAATATACGTAGACACCCCGCTTACTAGTGCTGCCTATTAAAGCCTTCCATTTGCCTCCAGTGTATTTTATTTCTACTGGGAAAGGTGTTTACCCAACTAAAAAACACATTTTATCATGTTTATTCACAAAATCAGACACATAATATGACATAAATATAATAAAATAAAAATAAATGAAAATATAAAATCCCAACAGGTCAATAGTAACCCCACTTGGTCCGTTTTCAATAGTTTGCCAGTTGTTGCAAACGTAGACTGCACAAAAAACAGGCATAGTTGTTCACCCTGCATTGACTCCGGTTGGGTTTGGAGAGTGAGGAACCCACTCAATATGGCAGCGACGCAGTTATGCTCTCCAGCACCCAATGGCGCATCTACGTGTTCATGTCCATGCCTCAGTCAGCTTAGCACACCAACTTAGCTTGAATACTAACTCGACCTGCAATGAATAAATGTCAGTCTGGAAACTTGAAGCTAACTGTGGAAGTGAAGGGCTTCCTATCTATGGCCATTCAAATGTCAAAATCTCTTCCTCCTCTCCTTGATGAGGTTACGCTTTGGACCCCTGCTTTTAAGACATCTTCAATAACACTGTTGTTTCACACCTTTGTAAAACTACAATTGACATTAGAATGAATAATTTTGCCAGATCATCAGGAAAAGCACGGAACACTAACCTCATAATGTCCCTCAACCTGAGACGTCATACTCCTTAGTAGGATTTATTTCCCTTATATGAATATCAGCAACAGATCACACTTACAGCCACAATGAGAGGAGTCAGAACAAGCCAGCAGATCTTCCACCAACAACATGGTCTGTAGCCAATCATGTCCTCAATGTTGTCATAAAACTTGTTCACACCTGCGACCAAATCACAAGAAAGATTCATGTTTTAGCTTTAGCATGTGCCATCTGACACTCATCTATCTATTTAACAAGATTAAAGTGTTGCTCACCATAGAACCATGAAACTGAGATGCACTCAAAGAAGACCAGGAAAAGCAGGGACATTCCACTTGCTGAGTAGTAGTCGAAGAGCTTGAACACGTACAAGCCACCCTGTAAACAAAGGAGAGATAACACGGCAAAGGAAGATAAGATGCTTGGATGAGAAGAAGCAACAGTGTCTATCCATCTATCCGTCCATTCGTCCATGAGTTGGACAGAAGTAAACCAAAGAAGTGGAATGATACAGAATTGGTCAAGTCAAGTCAAGTCAAAGTCATTTTATTGTCAATTCTACCACATGTGCAAGACATACAGAGAAATGAAACTGAGTTTCAGTACACACAATTCAGAGATCAGACATACATGGGCAAGACACATGACAAGAATTGGTGACTGCGGTCATTCACAACACGAGTCGCGCTACCTTAATAGATGAAAAGGGAATTACATGAGGGTAAGTTGGGGGAGGGAAAAAAAGGCATACCAGAGTTACTCCCGACAGGGCGTAGCTGTACTGTGCAAAAAAACACCTCAAACATATAAAAACGAACATCAACATTCACAACATGAGACTCCGATAGGGAGGCCGGGGGGGTGGGGGCTGGGGTCCTGTATCTCCAGGGCGAGCAGTCATGTGTAGCACTCAGTCAGCTGTATCCGCAGGAGGGAGGGAGAGGCGCAGAGCACAATGAGTTCCCGCAGATTGATGGCCTCTCTATGCAGAAGTCCACAATCTGAAGGTGTGTGTGTGTGTGTGTGTGGGGGGGGGGGGGGGGGGGGTAGGACGGGTCTCAACAGCATCTGTCTGCATTCCTTCCTTCATGGGGGTTGTTGTTGGCAGTTCAAGGCTGCCTTGGCGTCAGATTAGGATAACAAGACTGTGTTTGGGTCAGGCAGAGATAATTTTCCCCTCTGCCTTCAGTCTGTAACTGGTCATTCCAGTCCTTCAGTGAAGCCAATTCAGGTTATTAAACATCTCCACACCGTCCGGTGACCCTCTCCGGGTCAACGTCAACGACTGTATCTAGTGTTAGGTGTAATAACCTGTATGAGTGTGACCATGCTGCGCCTACAAGACCAATAGAACAGCTTATCTATAGTTTGAAGCATCTTCTGTTTATCACTTATTGCAAGGGCCAACCAAAGAGAACTTTTAAGAATTTAGTTCATCTTTTGCACAGCTTGGTTCTCTTTTTAATCACAGCAGCAATAATAATCAAGTAAACCATCGTTTTTAACAAAGTTGTGAAGTCTGATGGGAGTCAACAAATAGAAAGCTGTTTTGATGTCTCCAGAATGCTTTTTTAGCCTTGTGTTTGCTTTAAGTACAGCTTTACATTTTTAGGACTTCTGAGTGAAAGCATGGTGGCTTATGCTGTGGCATTTCACAACATAAGTGAATTTTAAAAAGTCTAGAAATCATACAATTTAAAACTCTTATTAGCTTTGGAAAATACAGTATTTTTCATCATGGTTGAGTTTAAATCTGCACAAGCATGCGTAACATCCAGCAATGGTCAGTTTTCACCTACAGATCGATCTACATGCCACCGGTCATCTGCAGACATAAATTCCATTCTCTAATGTGGGTTTTACATCCTAGCTTCCAACAAACCCTGAAGGATACTGCAGCCTTGTTGACATTTCAGAAGGAACAAGATGTCAGGCTGTGTTTCCAAACAAAGCCTTCTTTTGATAACACCGCAGGATTGTTCACTCTCTGAATAAAGTGACTCTTTTCAGCTCATATGAGTTAATCAATCGTGAAATGAAATGAACAAATGTTATATGAATAATAATAATGTCTTGATTAATCTGTACTTAAATTAATAAGGTTGATTAATCTGTGCTTGAATTACTGACATTTGAAATTAATGTTATTATTACATTGAAAGATTTATATATATGATGATCAGTAATGTTTGATATGACAAGTGAATCATTATCTACACTCAGACACAAGGTTCTTTAGAGATAAATTAAAGTTAAGTTAAACGTCATGACACATAGATATTTCCTTAGCCACAAATCAGAGCATCCTGTATCTGAAAGAAGGTGTGATATTCTGAGGTTTGCATGTTAACACCCCTTAACACTGCACGTTCCGGTTGGCCAAGAAATCATAATATGAGAATATTAAAACAGAGCTCACTTGACAATGAGTCAGTTCTAGAAAAAGCTACGGACAGGCCATCTGGAGCGAACACTCTTTAACCCAGATCATTTTTGACAAGCTGGCAAAAACCCTGCTAAAAGCTGCCAACAGCTGACGGTTCCTGCAGAACAAAGCTGATACAAATCTGACTCCCTAAGAGTCCTTCTAGACAAAAATGGTTTCATCTATCTGTTGTGACTCTGAAACATCTCTGGACTGGAGAGTCAGTGCTGCGGTTAATCTACCAAACCTCGGTGCCCTGCGGTCATCCGACCTCCCTGACCTCCTGATCCGCAAAGAGAGTCTCCAAAGAAAGGGTGAGGTAGGCACACATATTGCGTCTGATGCCGGTTTTGATAAGAACCAACTTCATAGTTTAACGCAAACCAAATTATTTTCACCCAGAACTCAGTTCTTCTAGATACAAGGTTCTGATGAACACACACCATTAAATCACCACACATCACATCCCACCCACTTAGATTCATCCAGCACAGCCGTCTTGGTTAACTTGTCTTGTTTTTATTTGTTTAGAAAATAAATTTCTTATCTTTTATAAACCTGACTCTGTCTGAATTAATACGAAGTGTGTTTGATCCCTGAAAAAGCAAAGAATCCTACAATCTTCTGATTAAACATTCAAAGACTAATAAGGTTGATATCCTATATTTATATAGAATATCACAGCTTATTGGTCATAAGTAAAGGTAATATATTAAGCTTAAAAGCAACAACATGTTCCCTCTACACATGCATCTTAGTTCATCTAATCCCAACTGAACAGCTCTAGTGTTCATAGCTGACAGAAAAATCTATCTGAAGTGATCTGATCTCACCTTCTCTGTAAATAGACACATTGCACTATCAGCTGATCAACAAATCAAACTGGTTAACGTCTAAGATGTATTATTCCGTCATTTTTTAGACTCACTTGAGCCATTTACTGTAATTATTCACAAGAAGGCTGAGAAATGTAAATATGTGGGAAAAGGGAAATGCTCTGTGTTGCTGCAAAGCTCCGTGTCAGTGCCATAAGAAAGTTTAAAGCTAATAATCTCTGAAACTCAGCAGCTCACCAGGAGGCTGACTCAACTTTGCAGTGAAAGCATGCTGGAGGAAAATCTTCCGACATGTTGTCCGTAAACTTAGATTCCTGTGATGTGGCATCACATTTTGCAAAATGATGACCACGGTGATCCCAAAAACTAAATCAAAAACTTCACAGAAGAAATACTCAGATGTTTATAATATTACCACAGATTATACGAATAGTTTTAATTATTAACAGCAACGAAAGTGTTTAGCTAATTTTCTTTTTGTTTGGTTTTGTTTGAAAAAAACTAAACCCAGGAGACAAGTAATGGTTACAAGGAATCATAGTTGTCCCCTAGTGTCCTGGTGGTCTGAGGGTCTGAAGCACATAGGTTCTGGCCTTGTGATGAGTTAGGCATAGCAATTGGTTCATTTGGTTGTATTTATTCATATTTAAGTCAAGCTGTGTGTAATTGTCAGGCATAAATAATCAACTGCTGAAGTAGTGCATATTTACCTGTGTGATGTTGGACAGGCCAATTATATAAGAAACAAGGCAGACGACGGCGATGAAGATCTCTCGACGCTTCCGCAGAACATGAGGAAATTCATCAACCAAAGCGGTGATGAAGCCTTCCACAGTGCAGAACTGTTTGTAGAGTCATTTCAAAAGAAGTTAACAATCATTCGGTTTCTACCAGTTGGACAACTTCTATAGTTCTCACCTGGCTGTCGATTCCCAGCATCAGCAGCATGGAGAAGAAGAGTATCGCCCAAAGAGGAGAGATGGGCAGCTGGGTGACGGCCTCGGGGTACGCCAAAAATGCCAAACCAGGTCCTGATTAAGACAAATTAAAGGCAAATTCAGAAATATTAGCCACTGAGCTGAAAACCTTAATCTATTTCCCACCACCCAATGCCAAATACTAGAAGACATTTAAAACGTTGTGCCCTAATGCTCAGTTATTACGACACGCCTGAGAAAATAACACTGCTCAATATAATGGGGTTAGAATGAATTTAGGAGCAATCTGTCCTTGAGAGAAAAGTGCAGATTAAAGTCTTAACAAATGCAAAATGACAAAGCACTTTCTCCTCTGATAAAAGTGAACTTACACGTTTCCAAAGGAAAGCTGTAAATCCAGAGTCATTATTGTTGTCATACCTTCCACTTTTGTCTGTTGTTGCTACTGAGCTTCGACATTGATTGCAATTACCTGAGGCTGCCACATCAGCGATTGATCTCTTTGTTACATGAGCCATGAATCCCACAATGGAAAAGATGACAAAGCCGGCGAACATGCTGGTGAAGGAGTTGATGCAGCAGACAATGACAGAATCTCTGCAGGGGAGAGACAAAGCACAAGGCAGCCATTGTCACGCCTGTATCAATTCCTTATCAACCCGTCACACATTGTGGAAAACTGTGGGGGAAGGGGGAGGGAAGGAAGAGCAAGCCATTTTGCATCCTGCAGTAGCCCAGCAGTTCAATCGCTTCATCCCGACTTAATAAAATGGCAGTAGCATTGGGTCCTTTTATATTATTAAAAAAAAAGCTTGAGGACAAGAAAAAACATGAAAACACAAGATCTAAGATAAAAAAATCAGAAAACACCTGATCTTTTAAAACAGGGAGTCAAATGCACTGTAAGAAATGAAATGTTGAGTTTACATAATCAAATTATGTCAAGTGTTTTCACTAAACCTAGTTGCTTAAATGTAAAGCGTCATATACATTGTTATTAGTTGTTCTGTTAAAATTAGATGTATATTAGTATTTATATTCAAGCAACTAGGTTTAGTGGAACCAGTGGACGTAACTTGATTAAGTAAATTCAACAATGCATTTCTTATAGTGTAAAAACCCATTACAAATACAATTCTGCCACAACCCCATAAAAAACACAGCACTGAGCTAGCTCTTAGGGTTTGATCCCCAATGACACATTTAATTCCAGGGGTAAATGCACTTTAACCACCTACCTGTACACGTTATTATTGAAGGGATTGTAGCTGCCGAGAGCAATGAGGGACCCTAATCCCAGCCCGTAGGAGAAGAAGATCTGTGTGGCGGCATCGAGCCACACCTGACACGTGGAGATTAGCAAAACATATCACAGTAATCAGGCAGAAGCATGATGCTGTTATTTATCCATTCATTTATTAGAATGCCTTTTGATAGTTTAGGTCATGATATGTGGTTGGAAAGATGGTGGCATTTGCATGGATGCATGAACAAGCTTTAATGAAATTAGTAAAATTGGAATATCCAGAAAAATAGAATCCTGTATTTGTCATTATTTTATGTTACATTCTGTCCCTTCGTCAGCTGAAACACGTAACCATGAAAGTAAGAAAAACAAAACATCAAAACTGCTAAAGATGTGTATTCTTGTACCACTGAGTTCATTTCTTCACTTTTTGTCCCTCGCTGACTGATTGATTGACCTGAAGGAGAACTGAATCACTTCCTGGTGTTCCATGTTGCCAGTATAACAACAGTTCAGAGACTCAACACTGCTGGGAGCTCACCTCTGATTCCCACAGCTTCTCAAAGTTTGGTGTGATGTAGAAGAGTATTCCATCAAAGGCACCAGGTAGAGTGATGCCACGGCAAAACAGGATGAACAGCATGAAGTAGGGGTATGTTGCTGAGAAGTAAACCACCTGTCAGACACAAAGTTACAGTTAGATCAATAATCCTTTACAGCAGGTCTGCTACAGCTGGAGGAATTTCTTTCACTTTGGAATAAAACAAGTAAAAAAAAAAAGAAAAACTAGTTAACTTCCTGTGTTACTGATGTGCCGTTCCCACAGCTCTGCAAAGTGTCCCAGTCAGCTACTCCTCAGAGGCACATCGACCCCAGAATTAAAGGATTCACACACTCTTCGTGCACTTTTGCCTTCTTATCTGAACCAGTTCTGCATCTGTGCAGCTAAAGTGACTTGATGCAATCTACAGAACAAATGAATGCAAGACTCTGATAGAAGCTTTAAAAAAATTAATTGTTTTTTGTGTTATTTTGTACATTTCTGTGCCACATAAAATATATTTTAGGACTCTTAAAGGTGGGAAACTGATTTATTCAAAAATATTTCTGTGGTTTCTGGTAGGAATGAATGCCCTGCAAGCAGTAACCGGGGCAAAAAAAAAAAAAGCCCAGGAACACTTGGATCAGCACAGACAAGTCTGCCACATCAGAGGAGAGCTGAACACGACAGGATTTTGAGTCTTATTTCCTGATATTTGGACATCTTGCCTCGGATTGGACTACAGCAACGCGACTCTACCACTGACTCTGTTTGCTCTGCGACGTGGATGTTTTATCTCCACAAATAACGCTTCTGCTGTACGGTTGAGTTGCTAATGCTAACAGTTAGCTTCTGCTAGCCAAGACATTGTCTGCTGATTCTGGACACTAAACAACATCCCTCCTCATTGTGGGTCAAGATGGGTGAGTTCAAGTTACATGGATCTGTCAGACATTTAAAATCCTAGACTTTCACTTTCAATTTCAGAAGCTAATGCAGGAGACAGGTGTGGCAGACTATTTTCATTTTCAGCCTACAGAAAAAACTGAGAGTAGATCTTTTGTTTTGAACTCACAGCAGTCATGTGTTTTATTTTTGCCTACTCACTTTGCCAGTCCAGCTGACCCCCTTCCATATACAGAAATAAACCAGCACCCATGCAACGGCGAGTGTGATAGCCAGAGGAATCCTGACCTCCCCGGGCTTCTCCAGACCATCGGTCAGCTGGTGCATGTTACGTCTGCAGGTGAGAGGTGAAAGAGTTATAGACCACAAAGGTCTGAATCATGAGCATGCAGCATGTACAGTGTGTCAGCACATCACATTAACAAAAATGACACCAATTTCTTTCTCACCCATAAAACCTTTAAAAGACATCGAAGTGAAGAGAACATAAATAAAAATACATTTTCTTCCACAGATGTGTTTGGCATACTCGTTTTTCTTCCTCCTGATCTTCTGGAATAGATTTCCTGTTTAATGATTGGCAGCATCACATGTAAATTGCCCGTTTTGACCTGGTCTCCTTCACATGGGAAGAGACGACCCTCTCTTCTGTCCAAAACAAAGCTGATTAGAGAGACTTACTCCCAGAACTCCACAACAGAACTGGTGAGATTACTGGTGTCTGTGATGCTGTAGTTGGTGTAGCAGCGATCGGTGTTCCAGGAATTGCCACATGTCTGCCACGGCAGCTCCTGAAAATGAAAGAAAAAAAATAACACATAAAAACCAGGAAGACGGCTCTGTTTGCTTGAACCCCTCTCCCACATCGCCGGGTCTTTTTTATTTTTTACCCCTGACTGTCAAGCAGCCAAGACCATGATGTTCATTTGGGACATTGAGATTTCATGCTCTCCTCAGAAGAGTGAATGCTTCGTTGCAGAAAGAATTAATCAATACCTCGTGTAAAGACCTAATTATGCAGGAAAGGAAGTAATAAAAGTCACACTGTTAAGGGTTTTGTATTCTTCTGGCAAAAGGCCTGCTACATGACTAAAGTAAATCTCTGAGTAAAGATACATATACTTTGAAAGACAAAGGAAAATAAAGAAAAGATTCATTTGGATTTTTTAAGAAGCAGTACCCATGCATGGAGAGGAGGTGACGAGGGATGGTGAAAACTGGATTTACTCACTGCAGTGAAAGAGTTGTACAGATAGTAAAGTGCCCAGGAAATGATCACAATGTAATATATATTGAGCCAAAAGGACAGGACGGCAGCAGCAAGACCCACACCTGGAAAAATAAACCCAACAAATGCAGGTGTGATGGTGATTCTGTGCTGACAATTAAAAAAAATAATGGACTGAATTATTATCAAGCATCTCTGATGTTTGTCCGTGGAAACCAGTGAGTCATCATAAAAACACAACTATGATTTTATTAGGGACAATACAATACATTTTACCTTTGAACATTGGCGCCAGTTTCCACACTCCAAGGCCGCCAATGGACGTGTACTGGCCAAGAGCCGTCTCCAGAAAGAACAGAGGCATGCCAGCAAATACCAGCGTCAAAAAATATGGAATCAAGAAGGCCCCTGGATGAAAGGTGGGAAGCAAAAGTGTGTAAATGATGAAAAATCACACATGATTTATTTTCAGTATAATCCAACAAGTTATTTGGTAAAGGGAGAATTTGGTGTCGGAATGTGTCCAGTACGCAGGGTTTTGTTTGTGCGCAATTACGCACGACTGTGATGTTGACAAAATTAGGGCGGCACTTAATTTAAACTCCCCGGTAGCAAACTGTCGATTTTTGATGTCACGACCTTTGCATTCCTTTTGTTGTGTAGCAAACTGCCAAAAGACTCCTCATTACCTCCGCCGTTCTTCCCACACAAGTAAGGAAATCTCCAGACATTCCCGAGGCCGATTGCATATCCCACACAAGAGAGAAGAAAGTCAAATTTCCCACCCCACGTTTCTCTCTCGGGTATCTCTTTTTTCGTCTTCTGCACCTTCACCACTAGTGTTTTAGGTTTGTCGTTTGGTGTGGCGCTCGGTGCGTCGTTCACCGTCTCCGTTAGGACGTGTCCGTCCGAAGCTTTGGTCCCGTTCGTTGCCATGGTGACGCTCTTTGTCGGATAGTCCTGAATCAGTGGAGAGGTGGTGGTTTCAGCACCGCTCCAGACAGATCGCAGCGTATCCGTTCCGTATTATCGATCCTCGGAGCAAAGCAGAGATGAGTGGAAGGGTCGGAGCCCGTCTGGGAGCAGCAGCAGCAGCAGCACCTCAGCGACCAGCAGCAGCTGCAGAAACACAAACGGCATGGTTAACATTTTTGCAGAAAAACATAACAAAACAAATTAACAGAGTATTTTGAAGCATAATTTTTAATGCCAGGTCTGAAGGATTGTGTGATTCTGAATTATAAAAAAAATAGCTTACACGATCAGATTAAAACTACTTATTTTATTAGAAATATCTCTAGGACTTTTTCTGCAAATGTTGTTTCTGAATCTATTTTAAAATTGATTTTACGCATATTAGTGAATTGTTTTTTAGAAGGGGGGAAAAAAGATACGTGGCCCTCCCGCATTAAAAACACTTTTCATGCATTAGGACATCCCTAAATCCCTCTTCTGGCCTGAAGTGAATCCATGTTAGCAGAAATTTACAGCCTGCTCTTGTCCTCGATTCACAGTGCTCTAAATTCAGTGGCCCACTTCCCATCGCTGCGGTACATGAGTAGAGCAATTAAACACATTTAGGAGTCAGCGGCAGCCATCGTGTCCAATGAATCACCTGAAGAGGGTCATAACTCTCCACAGGCTGCAGCAACAATTTTTATAATCTAGGCGATGAACGGTTTACCGGTTTAATTAATCATAAGTAAGTCTGGACACTTTTTATTACAATTGTGAACTCTAATCTGTAATTATATCTGCAAATTATAATTCCAAACCTCTAAAATAATCAGTAAATGAAATTGTGCGTGCTCCTAGCTGGAGCGTAATAGTGAGGAGCGTTGAGCCGGCATGGGAACGGAAATATTTCGACATTTCTATGAGGTGTTTTACACACACGCACGCATTTTCTGTTCCATCTTGATGTCACATATAATTTCGAATAGACGTAAACGCTCCAGACTCGTCTGCGTTGCCAAGAATTACGCACGAACCTTCCTTATTCAAAGACGTATTTCTCTCTGTTTTGTGCAAAACTACGTAGTCTGACTAAAAGATCACACTTTCAAATTTCCATCACGAAAATTCGTTTTCGCTTCCTTCAGTTAAAGGCACGTTGGTGCGCTTTGCCAAATTTTACGCATCTGCACGATTTTCCTCAAGTTGCATCCCTAAAGAAAACCTAAATGGATTTCAATTGATCTAAGGCGCGTTGTGTTTATATGAATACTCACCGAGAAACAAGCTGTTTTATATCCCAGAGGGTCAAATCCAATAGAAAAAGTTACTTTCTTTCAAGTAAAACCAGGAGAAGACTTTGCATTCGAGGACAAGGAGCAGATATCTGGTCCTCCAGGGGGGAAGATGGACAAATGCGTCTTTGAGAGCGAGGTGCTGTCCTTAAAGGAGAGGTGCTGAAAGAGAGGAAGGGAGAGACGACGGGGAAAGGACCTGCCGCTGTCTGAGTTGAAGCGAGCAGGGACGTAACATGCACAGGATGTTCCCCTCTCATCTACATAGCGTCAATGTCACCTCAAAGTCGACCCACCCCAAATCAAACATTTCCACCACTGCAGCGGGTTTGAGAGAGGAGCATCCTCTTGTCTCAAGGTTTTATATCCTCACTCAACTGTCCCACCTTCTCCCCTCCTTTCTGACTCTCTAAAAGGTCGGCTGAAGACTTTTTGTTCTGTTTCATTCAAATCTAACTTTAAGTTACTTCCCTTCACTAATGAACCAAGCAAACATGAGCTATGCTTTCAAGTCCCCAAACCTACATCTGTACACATGTCAATTATATTTTTAGGAAAGAATTCATTTCAGAAGTTCATATTTGGGGTAAAAATATTGTTGCATCAATTACAGCTGCTGAAAGTAGGATGCCAGAGGCTGGTGTTACTGCTGGTGAAACATGATAAGAGGGTCCCAGCCAATAAAACAGAGTACGGGTGTGTGAGATAAATTGAAAAGTGCTCTCATAATCTTCTTAGCCTGCTGTCTTCCAAAATGAAATACCCATGTGGAACATCCCAAATGAGAAGTCTTAATGCTGACTTTAAGTCCTGCAACGAAATAAAATATTCCGGTCTCAGTGGGATTCAGACTCTCTTGTAGTTTAGGAGTTAAAATCTTCAGAAAGTGTTAAAAAAAGACAACCAAAACAATTTATGAAATAAAAGCCAACACTCTTATTTGGGAAATGTTAAATTTGTGGTGGGATATAGTGCAGAGCAATGTTTCCCAACCCTGGTCCTCAAGGCACACTGTCCAACATGTTTTCCATGTCTCTTCTTCAGCACACCTGATTTACATTGGCTCCTCAGGACATCAAGCGCTGCAGAAGCCTGTTAATCACTCATTCATCAAGTCAGGTGTGTGGCAGCAGGGAAGCACTGAAAGAGCAACATGGAAATCATGCAGGACATTGTGCCCTGATGACCAGGGTTGGGAAACACTGGTGTAGAGGAAACACAACACACAGGGACTGGCAATTCAGTTGGATAAAGATGGGGTCCGTAGTTTAAACATTTTAAAGTAAAATAAAAAAATTCTTAAAGGTGTGGGATACTGAAAACAAATAGTTAACTATTATTTCTGACTTTGTTCATAACTTTTATGGACAGGATTTCTAGACGCAGCCAAGGTGTTGAGTGGATCTGTGTTTGTGGTCTGAGGATCAGGTCTCTGCTTTTAGCAGATGATGTGGTCCTGTTACCTTCATCAAAACGTGATCTCTGGCTCTCACTGGAGCGGTTCGCAGCCGAGTTTGAAGCAGCTGGAATGAGAATCAGCTCCTCTAAATCCGAGATCATGGTCTTGTGTCAGAGAGTAGAATGTCTTCTCCAGGTCAGGTATGAGGTCCTGCCTCAAATGGAGGAGTTTAAGTATCTCGGGGTCTTGTTCACGAGTGAGGGTAAGATGGAGCGCGAGATCGATGTGCAGATTGGTGCTGTGTCTGCAGTGATGCGGCTGTTGTGGTGAAGAGAGAGCTGAACCGGAAGACAAAGCTTTCGATTTACCGGTGGATCTACGTTCCTACCCTCACCCATGTTCACGAGCTTTGGGTAGTGACCGAAAGAATGAGATTGTGGATAGAAGTGGCCAAAATGAGTTTACTCCGTGGGGTGGCTGGCCCCTCCCTTAAAGATAGGGTGAGAAGCGCAGTCATGCAGGAGGGGCTCAGAGTAAATCTGCTGCTCCTCCACATCAAGAGGAGCAAGTTGAGTTGGCTCAGGCATCATGGTTAGGAAGCCTCCTGGATGCCTTTTTGGTGAGTTTTTCCGGGCAAGTCCAACTGGGACAAGACCTGAAGGAAGACCCAGGACATGCTGGAGGGACTAAGTCTCTCGGCTGGCCAGGTAATGCCTTGGGATTCTCCGGAAGAGCTGGCCCAAGTGGCTGGGGAGGGGAAAGTAAACCACTAAATAGTTCTCATGTGCAGCCACAGCTGCAGCTCACCAATCCACTTGGGGATAGGTCAAATGTGGAGATGATTTTCAACAGCGTGATGACTAATGGGACTTTAACTTTAACTTGACTACTAAATAGTAGCATTATCAAATTCACCACATGGCAGAAGCTCCTCCAGGCTTGTGTTATTTGTGGAGATGAAACATTAATGTCGCAGCAAGTCAGCAACAGAGTCACTTTGCTGTTATCCAATCTGAGGCAACATGTCCAGATATCAAAAACAAGATTCCAAAGCCTGCTGTCTGAAGCTCAGCTGAATGTGGCTCACTTCTAGTTCCTGGTAAGGGTGCTCCAGTGTTTTTTGCCAGGTTTTAGATGTTTCCCAGCTTGAACACTGCATATTTGATTAAAACAAGTGATTATCAGCTCCTGCAGAATCAGATGAAGGCTGAAAGATAATATAATGCTCAGAATCAGGTGTGTTTGAGCAGGAACATATCAAAAACATTACTTGTCCGTTAGCGTGTCAGAGAATCTGACTGGTCCTGTAACCCATCTTTCTACAAAACCTGCTGTGCATTAACACGAAACATCCTTCACATTTTATGTCCATCATAGCAATAAAAACGATCAGAATTTCACGCCTTTCTTTTTTACAATTTGCACATACTACTTTTCTATTCATTCGTATTCACAGTTTTTCCTTTTATTTCTATCCTGCAGGCCCTGATTTGCTGACACAGTGCTGAAAAATCCAACCACCGCGAGGAAAGACAAGAATGCCCAGATGGTGAACCAATTAGGGGTGAGCTAACCTATGATATGAGACAAAATGTGGTTTATCTAATCTCAACTGGCTGATTAGCCTGCAGGCTGTCGCACCTCTGATGTGCATAAAAGCCCCCCGTTAGCCAGCAGCTTTCACATGGAAGAGGACTAAAATCGCTTCGCCGAGGAGGAAGAGAGCTGGTGGTGATGCGCTTTGTGGCCACGGCCCCACCTGATGGTGAGTGTGTGTGCACTGGAGCCTGTAATTACAGGAGGAGGTGGTGGTAATAGAGACTAGTGTGGTGGCAAACACACAGGCAGACAGCTGGCCTCCTGTCAATTTCACTACTCGTAGCAAAGGCGACAAAAAGTGATGCTCTGAAGCTTTACAGCAGATCACTGTTCATGTGGAAAAGACAAAAGGATGCTGGCTCATGTGTTTTATAATTCAGACACACCATCATGCCTTTGTATACATGCATCACATCTCTGTCTAAGTCTGTAAATCTCTACAGACATGAAGATCCTCTTCAACAGTATGGTGTTGACTACATGTACAAATAAATAGATACATTATTTGTAGGAGGGTTGTATTATCGCCACCAATATTAGCATTAAAATGTAAAATCAGAAAGTGTAAGTATCGATTTTTACTCTTTTAATGTTTGTGCTGCTTTTTATGAGTTGATGTCATAGAATGTGGTTTCAGTCTATCATAAGCTTGTTCATCAGTTTTATTAGTAAAATAATCCTTAACAATGACAGTGTTGCAAATAAATAGGGTTGTTTTAGAAATGGTTGTATCTAATAAATGTGCAACATTGTAAAAATCCTTCCACTTCACTAGAGTCAGGTTGTGGGGCAGCAGCCAAAGCCGAGGGGCCCAGACTTCCCTCTACCTAGCCGCTTGGGCCAGCTCCTCCAGGGCAATCCCAAGGTTTTCCATGGACAGGTGGGAGACATAGTCCCTCCAGCATGTCCTGGGTCTTCCTTTGGGTCTCCTCCCAGCTGAACGTTGGAAAACCTCACCATGGACTATCTAGATGCCCGAGCCACTTCAATTGGCTACTCTCGAAGTGGAGGAGCAGCGGGTCTACTCCGAGCCCCTCCCTGATGACTGAGCTTCTCACCTTATCTCTAAGGGAGAGCCCAGCCACCCTGCAGAGAAAACTTATTACGGTCCTTGTGTCCACAATCTCATTCTTTAATTTACTATCCAAAGCTCGTGACCATAGGTACCCTCAAAACCTTGACTGCATCTAGAAATCCTGTCCATAAAAGTTGAACAGAATTGGTGACAAAGGGCAGCCTTGGCAAAGTTCAACTCTCACCGGATACGAGCCCAACTTACTGCCGGCAATGCGGGCTAAGCTCTGACACCGATCATACAGGGACCTAACAGCCCGTATCACAGGGCCTGGTACTCCATACTCCTGAAGTAGCCCCCACAGGGCCCCCCGAGGGATGCGGTCAAACACCTTCTCAAAATCCACATTGTAAGAATGAGTAAAGCATTTCTGTCTGTGTGATGCAAACATACATTTATTTTCTGAGATGGTCAAGATGGGAGCTGCCATCAAAACCTCTGAAAAGATGTAGTTAAATATGGAAAGACAAACTTGGAAAAAACATACTAAAATACATGCATGTCCAGCTGAAATTAGACCATGTTTCTCCAACTCTTTCTGATTTTCAGACATAGGAAAAAAATTACAAACATTCAAAGCAGAAGAACAAACAGAGCAGCATCCATGAACTGTAGCTTCTCATGTTTCTCATAGACGATCACTGCTGAGCTTGGGTTGTGCAGAGAAGGAGGGACCACTTATGTGAAACCCTGTGGGCTCACAGAACGGGTTTTGGCTCTTCATTGGTAAGACAGTCAGGTAGGATGCTGCTTGGCCTCTCCAGAAGAACCTGACGTTTCCGCTGCACTAAAAAGATGGAGACAAAGTGATGTCTGTTGCTCGTTGATCCACAGAAAGAACACCGGGCAGTTCTTTTAAAAGGAGGGAGAGAAAAAGCAAGTAAAACAAATATTGTCCTTCCTCTCTGCCTGCCTCAGTCTTCTTGCTGCCAGTCAGAAATGAGATGTCCAAATAGCATGAATAATAATGAGTTAGACCCCAAATCCAGCCATGTTCAGCTCACCTCTCCTCTGCCTATCTTCTACTTCCTGAAACAGGAGTGCCAGAGCAACTTTGTAATAACTAAATATTCAGCTACATATTAGTGTTGGTTATTTTATAGCATTTATTAGTGTTGTATCAATGCAACATCATAGGGAAAGTATATTTTTAGACTGCAGCACTGCCCTCTCTAAGCTGTCTTTGCTGCTGCTAGTCAAGGTAATTGAGGCAGACAGAATGCCATCCGGGACTCAGGACTGATATTTAGACTTAATAGCTTTCAGAGAAT